CATTGAAGGGCTTGCATTTTGACTTAAAACAAAATGTTTCTAAAAACACAGAGTAACTTTTTGTGCTGGTGGAGTAAGATTCATCTTATCTAAGTGAATTAATGGATGAGAAGGCAATAATCCACTCAACATTTTCTTTGGTTTATGTCCAAGATCTTTCCTTTCCCCAACCCCACCATCTAACCATACTACCAAGATGACCTAGCAACATCTTTTTTTCTGCCATGTCCCCATGACAAAGTTAACTCACCCACAGCCTCATCACAAAGTATGTAAAGATAGGCGATGTTTTGTCCCATAATTGTATGGGAGATAAAGTGGCAAGTAAAATCAAAGCGATGTATCAAATTTCACTCAGATGCAGTCTGATACATACAGTCCCTCCTTTACTTTTATTTGAAGTTTTAATAATAAGAACAATAGTACAGATGGTGATAGGTGCAGTCCTTTGGGTGCAATCCCATAAACATCTGGAACACCACTTACACACCATTGGCATTGACAAAAATCACCATAAGTCAATTGCAAAAGGCAGTTTTACTCAGAAAAAGCTTACATTCTGTGGGGATACCTTTAACACCATTAAACAATAACATCTGCTTTTCCCAGGTCCCTGGAAAGAACTCCATAGGGGGATAAGAATGCCAAATCCAGTCTAAGTATCTGTTTGACCGTGCCACCAAAGATAATAGTAATACTCTGTTGTCTCTTCAAAAGTCAGAGTAGCTATCAAAATTCTGTAATAATATAAGACTACTCAGCCAGTGGAAATGCAAGTGCTTTATCAGTAGGGCCTTGTAGGGATCGGCAAGGATAGTAAAGCAAAATGGATAGGATACTCATCCACCCTTACAAAGAAGTCTGAAAGTGAGCATTTATTTGACCTATGCAGAGAGGAAAAAAAAAACAGGAGGGAAAAATCCTTAGCTGTGTCTCAGCTTCCTAATCTGTAGAAGGATAGAGTAGAGCTTACATGTTCCTGCAGCCTGGTCCACTTTATTTTTGCAGCAGCTTCATGATTGGCAAATGTTTTTCCCCACTGGTTGGTGATATGAAGGGCAGCAAAGATGGGGAATTCATCAAATGTTTTTCTTCTTCTGATGATGATGATGTGGTACACGTTTGAAATCTGGGCCCTACAATTCATCAGCAGGTCAGACCTAAAGATCCAAGGCAGGTCAGGAAGTGGAAATAAAGGCAGCACATTCCTCCCCCTCCCCTTCCAGGGGGGGGGGGAATAGTACTAATTCTGCAGTGGGAAAAGGCCCTAAAGGGATTGCTTCTTAGTAGATAAGGTCAGAATTACGCTGTCCATTGGTGAACTCATCACTGTTTAGTTTGCAGACTCAAACTTAATGGCTGCCATTCACACTTACTTGGGAGCAGGTTACATTATTTCCTGCAAAGGGACCACTGGATCTGGATAGCCGCAGTAATCCAGACAACATTAGGGGACAATAACCCCCCCCCCCCCCCTTGAACAGCATGGCCATAGTTTGGGGAGGATGGGAGTTGGAATCCAACCTTTGAAGAGCATCTGGCTGGGGAAGGAGATAGTTCTCCCTAATTCCCGTTTTGGCAGGGTTGAAGAGCAGGATCCAGATGGATTGGATTCCCCGAGACTCAAAACAGATTGTGCTCTCAAGGCCTGTTGGTCATTTTCCCTCTGAGCTGCTGGCACCAAGTGGGAGAAAGAGCTGGCAATGACTTTGGGAGAGCCTTAGTGAAGGTCGAGGAGGACAAAAGGATCCAGCGTCCAGATCCTCCGTCAACAATTCTGCCTAATTGACAACGGAAGCCCGCTGAGTTTGAGCAGGCGAGCAGCCCCTGCCAGCCGGCAGGCATCCCTGCCCGAAGGGGAGGAAAATCTCCTCCTCGCCCCCCTCCCCTCCCCTCCCCTCCCCTTCCCTCCCCCGCACAACTGCCCGGGTCCTGCATCGGCCGCCTCTGCCAAGAGCGATCTTCGCAGGCTCACTCGCTCTTTTTCGCTGGACTCGGAGAAGGAAGATCGAGTAAGACATGGGGGAGGGGACTGCACGCTGAAATCGAAGTAAGTTTGAATTGAAATAAATACTGCCAGGCGGCAAAGGGGATCTCCAGCTCAGGCAAGAGAGAACCCGGGTGGCGGCGGGGAATAAGCTCTCCGGCACTTTGGCTCCGCAGGCCCAAGGGAGTTCAAGGCTGGGACTTGCAACTTGACTTCATCGCGAGTGTGTTTAGGAGCGCAGCCCGCTAAGCTAACCTTGATGGATTCGCGCCGTACGAAAGATCCCCCCCCCTATGCAAGCAGTATGGATAGGTGTCGAAGTAATGCTTTGAATAAGCGATTCCCTCCATACCCTCATTTGCTAAATTAATCCCGTTCTAATATTTCTTTCCTGCTCTCCCTCCTTTAAAGGACTTTTAGAATGAGCGGCTAAAAGATATTACTTTAATTATTTAATTTAAGATTATTTTTTTCAAAAAAAAAACCCAGCTGCTCCCCGTAGCCTGAGATAACGTCCAATACCCCCGTCAGTAAGAAAATACTGTATTATTGATATGAGCCAGTAGGATGGGGAGGGGGGAACAATCCGATGTTGCTAAACCATCATTCCCAACGTTTCTCGCCGTTGACCAGCAATGTCTGCAATTCTATAAATTTCCAACCTTGCTATTGGCCGTTCTCCGAACGCTGTTTGGATTATGATGCATTTTCCAATCTAGTATTTTTCCAGATGTTTTGGGATTACAGTGTAAATCCCACTTTTTTTTTCAGCTGATTCCGGGAATCCCAATTCACTGAGAAGACATCAAGTTAGGAATGTATGAACAAAATAAATGACGGAGGTTTAGACTTTCTTGTATCTCGGAGGCTCGGAGCACATACATGTTTAGGACCGAACGCTCTGCATGGAGTTAAAGATTGATTAGCGAGTTAGATATGTTTACCGTCGCTCTAAAATCGGGAGAAATTGACAGGTTTCTCGAGAGGCTTCACAAAGTTTTTCTTCTCTCTGTGCAACAGAGTAGTATCATTTCTGGCAGAATGGGACAGGCGTCATCTGGGTAGGTGCCTTGAATAACATTTGATGCCTGACTAATTATAAAGCAATCATATTATTCAGCAGCCGTTTTTAAACTTGGACACGTTGATGCGCTATTAATGGGTCGGGCTACCTAATGGAACCTGACTGACTGATCCCCAGCAACTAAAAGGGGGGCTAAATACGGGGAATGAGTTATTGAAAAGTTTGCATTCCTGCGTTGGGTTTTCTTTGCGAGTTGTCTAGAGATATTCCCCCTTGTAGGAATACAATGTGTAGAGCCTTTGATCCGCTGTAGCTTGTCATTTCCTTTGCCCGCTCATAAGAGGCAGTGGGCATCCATTTGTGCACGTTTAAATGTTTGGAGGCTGACTATTCGGAGCCGTTCGTCAGTTCAGTATCCCAACTACAGTATTATTAGATCGGAGATAGCCACGTGAAGCTCCCGGCCAGCCCCGTCCATTTGATTGTGCGCAGAACAGGATTAAGCTCTAAACTTAAAACTGCAAACGTCATGCCTCTGTATTCATCACAGCTATAGTTATATATTGAGATAAAGCCCCTCTGATCATGCGCAGAGGGTTGTTTTATTAATTCCGTGCGTTGCAGCGCTAAGTTTTGGCATTAATGACACCGTGATGGAGCTGAGCCCATACACTAAACTCCAATTTTGCCTGTAGGGTTGAAATCTTATGCACACTCCTTTATTTGGGAATAAAGCCTATTGAGCCATTGCCAGCCTGAGTAAACATGCACAGGAATAGACTAGTCTACACAGCTGGTCTACCCTGACCTAAGATTGGTATCTCGTGCAAATCTCAGTTTTAGAGAAAGCCACCTTTTTGCCTTTCACCGAAATCAAAACCCGATAGCCACGTTGCAAGCTGGCTATCTCTCCCTCTTGAAAACCTTGCACATAACAGAAGTTACAACTACTGCTAGTTTACGTGGTAAAACGGGTTCTAAATCAAACGATGTTCTCCAAAAAAAATAATTAAAAAAAATTAAGGAATTAAAATTGAATACAGTGATTTCCGGCACTAAAATAAATTTGTGCTGACGGTAACCGAGCCGTGGTAATCCCTATTAAGGACAACGGAGAGTAAAAAGTGTAGCACCTGAAGATTGGCCGGTGCTTGGGGGGTGGGTGGGGGGCGGGGGGGGCAGGAGAGTTTCATTCCTATTATTTTTTTTAAGAAGGTCAAGACAGTTTCCTCTCCCAACAATAGTTTGAGTAAGGCAGACTTGGCCGAGAGCACTCAAGTGAACACCAAGGCCGAGCGAAAGATTCGAACTCGACTCTTCCCAGGCTTAGTCTAACTAAGTACAAACCCGACTCCACCCCCACCTCCCCACTCAACGGCGTGGAAAACAATGAACAGATGTCGGGGCGATGAGCAATTCCAGATTAACGTCGTCCTTTCACGCGGGTGTAAATTCCAAGAATGCCGCCCTCTCCGCTGGCTGGCTGGCTGGCTGGCATTGGCGCTGTCGCGTTATCCCAACCAGCCAGCAGCTCGGCGCTGAGTCCAGAGGCTGCCGCCTGAGGTGCAGCTTAAAAGCTCGCTCTGGGTTGCAATAGGTTGACGCACGGCGCACGCGCGTCTCCGCGAGCTCTTCCTTCGCCGCCGCCTCCTCCTCCTCCTCCCCCCTCCCCTCCCGGTTCTTTCCCTGCAGACACCGTCGCCTTTGCAAGTTTTCTCGCACTTCGCGCCAGGCGAGGGGAACAGAAGCGCGCCCGCCTCGGCCGCGCAGCAACTAGTGCGGAGAACAAGCGAAGGAGCCGCCTTGTGCCCGTGCGGCACAGAATGAAGTCGGGACTGTGAGGGAAGGGCGAGGGAGAGCGACACTTCCCACCCACCCCTTTTCTTTTTTTTGCGCCGCCGCGGAACATGGACCGGAGCAGCTGCCGCAGCCTCCACCACCGCCGCCGCCACCCTCCCCGCCGCCCTGCTCTTTGATGCCGGAGGAGTTCGCCTTTCCCTTGCCCGTCTCTCGCTCGCTCTCTCGCAATGGAGGGACTCCGCTGGGGCAAAGCTTGCCGGTGCCGGGCACCCGTGGCAGCGGGTAGGTAGACGGCGGGGAAGGAAATCTGCAAGGCGTGTTCGGGAGGCGTCGAGCCTCGCGCGGGAGGCGGCGGCGGCGCCGTGGCAGCGCTACCTGGCTGGGTTGATCTGAAGCTTGAGACGCTGCGATTTGTCCCGGTTCGGTCGCGGATGGACCTTGCGAAGGAGGCTTCTTCGCTCCAACGTTGGAGCGGCCCCCTCGGGCAGAACAACCCTGTCGTTTGTCGTCGTCGGAGATTACGAGAAGTTGGGTTTTGGGCTTCCTCGATTGGATTACTTGGCTGCTAAGCTAGACGGTTGCCTGATTCTCTTCTGGCCCCCTCGGTCGTCGTCTCTTCCTCCCTCCCCCTCCTCCCCACAATGGAGGTGAGTAGCACTTGGAAATGAGAGGGGTGTGTGCTTGCAACCCGCTTGCTCTAGACACGGGGAAGAGGGGGAGCGATGGTTGGGGTTCCCCCCCCCCAACTATCCCAGTTTTGAGTCAGGAAAATCTGAGACGAAAAAAAACAAACCCTTTTTTTTCCTTCTTGAAAAAGAACTTAACCAGAGCTACTTGATCCTCCCCCCCCTTCAAAATATTAGGTTTATGGTGGGGCTTATGAGAAAGGGTAAACTTATTTCCCTCTATTGCTCCCGTAATATTAACTCCCAGTTATGGACGCGCCCCAATCGAAACTTTTACTTTTCTCAGAAACCTCCTGTTTCAAAAGGTTTCTGCTTAGTCGCCCCTGGCTTTTGGAGTGAGTGGTCGATTTCCTCGGGAAACTCTTTTAATTCCTCGCTAAATCTACATGCTTTTTTTCTCTCGCCTATCCCAGTGGGTTTTAAAAGGACAACAGCTCCTGCCACTTTAACTCGTGCGGGTTGAAGAAACGGAGTAATGGCAGCAGGCCTGTACCTTTAAAGGGTTTTGGCTGCTGGCCAGTGGGGAAAAAAAAAATCCCTGGATGACTTTCTCCTCCTCCATCTCGATCCCTCAGTTTTTGTTCTCGGGTTCTGCACGTTGTCACTTTGCATCTGTAAAGGGTCCGGCTTTTACTCGCGAGGGAGGATGGAAGGGTTTTGTCTCCACCCGCTCCCCCAGGCCCTTTGATGCTCCAAATGTTCCGTGTTCAAAAAAAGTAGTGGTGTGTTTGTTTTTAATTGTCAATTGTATGCTAAATTAGTTACAGTCAGTGGGGTCAGTGAAAGTTCAGCTTCAGCCAGGAAAGTTCAGCTTCTTTCTCGGCGGGTGGGGTAGGCAAATTGCATAAACCGACAAGAAAGTCCCAGTGATTTTCTTGCGTTTGGGTTAATCGTGGGTTGAGCTGAAACAGGCGCTTGAGACCACCGCCTGGTTTGCGGCGTTCGACTTGCTCTCTTTGTTGAAAACCTGGAAGCTATTTGTAAATCAAACTTTGGGACGCTTTTTGCCCCTTTTATGTATCCCCACTAAACCTGCGGAACAATTGGTGGGTTGGCAGGTATCGGCTCCCAAAATCCGAGCCGGCCTTTTTGCAGCAGCGTTTTGCAACCCACCGGATTAGAAAGGGCTATATACCTACTTAACCCCAGTAGGACTGAGCATTAAAACCAGCGGCCATAAAACCAGATGCACTAACGGACTTTCCAGACCCCTTTCATTTTTAAAAAAAGACAAAGTCGCAAACGAAGAAGCCCGGAGGCTGACGCGCTCCGTTGAAGAGCGGGGAAAACGTATTTAAAAAGTTGATCTTCGTTAGTGTCCCAAAGACGATCGGCTGCAAGAAGCCGTCTTTAATACGGACCCTCTGCAGATACAGAAAACGGTTCCGTCCCGAATGAGTGAAGGGATCTGCTTTAGCGCGGTGCTTTTTCCTCGGGTGCCCCGTCCGGAATGGGATGAGGGGGGGAGGGGCCTCGCCTCTGAGTCCTTTCTGCTCTGCGCTGGGATGCGCAGAATAAACTCAAAAGTAATGAATGTCACCAAACGCCGAGAGGAAGGCGACAAGGCTTTCGTCTGGGACCTAACGTTTCGCGGTTGCGATTGCCCTCTATCGGGGAAGGAGGAGAATGCCTCCTTAGAGCAACCCGACGGACCTTTAGGCAGGCAGGCGACTTGACTTCTGTTCATAAGGTATTTAAAGTTATGCTCCTGTCTCTACAACCTGTGGGGGGGCCCTTCTGCTTATTTTTGAGCAGAAAAGGGTTTTTGAATATAAAATGCAGTAACAGTTTGGATTCCGCTAACGGAGTTTGCATGAAATATATATTCCGAGCATTCAGTGAAGGACGCAGGATGTCGTTAATAAGGTTTCCCCCGGTGCCAGCAAAATCGTGCAATCGGAGAGTTTGCATTAGAAAAAGCAGCTCCACTAGACCATCCGTGGTCTGGCCTTTTTGCTCCATTGGCATTTTACCCCCTTTCCCCCCAAAAAAGCCCTTGTTTGACCCTCCTCGTTTTAGTAATAAACCTCGGCAAATTGTTCCGCCCTTGATCCAGACGGCTGTGACCCCCAGATTCAACTTCCTCGCGGGTGGTTTATTCTTCGATTAGCATCATCAAATTGCACCTTGCACAGCTCTCGAGGGGCGAGCCGAAACTGCGGCCTGAAATCCTCAGCTGCACAGAATGTACACCCACAGCGAAAGATCACACGAGACACGGAGGGAACGGGCCCAAGGCCACACGGGAAGCTTAGGCCGGACGGGTAGGGGAAGCGATTGAAACGCCCCGATGGGGCTTAACGGAGCCTTCCTTCTTTTCCATCTTCGGGTTTGTCCGCACGCTGTTCGCCTTCGACTAGGGACGGCTGCAGTGGCTTTCGCGGTCTCTCCCGGCCCCCTTTTCCCTCCCCTCGTGCTGGAGCGTGGACGGCTTTTATGGGAACGAACGAACTCTTTGCGCATCAGTCTGATGGAGAAATAAATCATTAGACGCGCGGGCTCTCCGGCCGATCCCCCCAAATTCTTCCAGCCTTCTGTGGGAGAATTCTGTGCATTTGGGGAGACCGCTTAGCGGGCCGCGACCGCGCCTTGTTTTCCGTGGGATTGAACCAAAACAAAGCGGCGCGAGGGCAAGCTGGAAGGGGCTCGGAATAGGCCAGATGAAGTCCTTCGGGAGTATTCCCGGTGCCAAGTCTCCCGTCGGCGAGAGTTCAAGCATGTTGAAATGTGACTCGCGGGCCAGCTCCATTTCCCCGCTTCTTGAAGCTTGAAGAAGCCGTTCTGGCCCCGCTCGTCTGGAAAGTCATTTTCCTTTTTACCCAGCACGAGGCCGAGGAGAATGGAAGAGCCCGCCGAGCAATTACGAGCGGGCGGATTCCCAGAGGAAAAAACCAAACTTCCCCAAGAGTTTTTGCAAGTCAAACCCGGAGGGCGATTTGCAAGCGCGACCCCGCCTTCTTCCTTGCCGGAGCACTCTGTACCTTCAGCTGAATTACCTCCCCAATCTCTTGAGTGGTAGTTAAGGGCAACCCTATTGGAAATCCGCAAAATGGGCTTCTGAGTAGACGCGGTTAAGATTGAGTGGTGAGTGGAATTATGTTCTGGTCAGGGCGATTAATACTGCAACCATACAGACTAGGTTGAAACATCTATGCCCGTTGGCACGGGAGTGCAGAGAAGCAACACGGGATTGTACTGCTGTCTTGTTTTTAAAAACTTACAAATGGAAATGCCCGTTGAAAGGTTATCTTTTTTTCTGTCTTCAAACCGCCTGGCGTGCCTGAAATCCTTTGGAGCTCCTCCTTAGGCTTCTCGTCGCGGAAGGAGCCTTCCCAACGCAGTCATGCCTAGGTTGCGAGCGAGCGCGCAGATCGAAAGTTTCCTGCTCTGCTCCCTCCGACTAATTCGTGGCGTTTGCGCGCGAAGAGGCCCGGGGTTGCGCGTGAAGGACACACCCGCCCTTCTCGGGCGAATCACCCCGTGGCGGTCTGCGATGGTTCCGGAAGCTTTCTGGTTCATCGGGGAGCCGCTCTGAAGCTGCCCGGTTCTCAAATCCGGGCTGGCTCTATTTGGTACGGGAGTAAATGGTTTAAGGTGCGCCAAGGCTACCCCTGAAATCGAAAGAGAGTCACTTCTGGCCGCGAACGAATCATGAACATCTGGATAGAAGCATTCGTGACATTTCTTTAAAAGGGGTTACTAAATTGTTTATTAACTTGTCTCCTGTTCCCGCCAATGATGCAGAATGGGGAGAGCTCCTCTCCTTCCATTGAGAAGGCTTGTCGCAACCCTTGAACCCAATTTCTTCTACCCCATCACTCCAGAAATCACTTGAGAAGGAAAAATCTCGATTCTGTCCCAAAATGATAGGCCTTTGCTTGCCCTGCGATACCTTTGTTCCCCTTTTGGAGTTCTGAAGGGTTGGTGGTCTGGCAAATCCTGTGTAGTGTTAGTGTGGGGTGGGGTGTGTGCATGTGCGTGGCTGTTTAATCTCTTCCCTATCTCAGCCCACCTGCTTCTCCTGACAGGGTAGCTAGCTGTGAAAACCCAGCAACACATAGCTAGCTGCAACAGGGCTGGATTGTGCCCCAAAGCCAAGGTCTTGTCTGCTGGAGTCTGGAAGGAGGAGGAGGAGGAAGAGAGGGAGGACCATGGGCTGGGTGCCGCTCAGCTTTCCCTTCAGTATCTGGGCTGCTTTGAGAGTTAGTCAAACACTAAGATCCAACAGTGGGACAGTTGGGCGGATTAATGCACTTGGAGCAGCAGGCAGTGGCGTGGCCATTGCACTGTAAGAACTCATTGGGGAGAAGGGCCGCTGCAGCTTTGCAGAGAATTCCCCCCCCCCCTTTCAGGCTGGACTTTGTTCACTTTTGAAACGGTCTGAGCCACACCATAACAGTCAAATCAGTCTCTTTCCTCTTCCCTCCCCTACAGAAGTCCATGGGAGCAATAATGCAAAGTGGATCTTTGTGGACAGGGGCAATGACTTCCAAGTACTTTTTGTTGGGTCTGACCATCTTCTCTTCGCTTCTCCAAATCATGATAGAAGCCAGCTCTTGGTGGTAAGCTTTTTAATTATATTTTTATCACTTTCTAATCCCCCCCCCCCCCCCCCACACACAATATAAGGTATGTCTGTCTTCAGTTTCCAGCTAATATAAAGAAGGAAGGCCCAGAAAGTTCCTGGAAAATGTAATTACTTGATTTATGAATCCCTAAATTTTTTTTTTCATTCTGTTCCTTCAGTGAACTCTACCACATATATGTAATAATTTGAATTCTCTATGGAACCAACTGTATAGTAGAAACTAAATAAAATGTAAAGTTGAAATGAGAGTATTGAGTTTGCAACATAAACACACATACACAAAAGTGAATCATGGGAGTTACTTCAAAATAATGGGTTTTATAACTGTTTTTTTTTTGTGTGTGAACGACTATAAGGGTATAGATTCAGTATACATATAGGGGTAAGCCCTATTGATCTTAATGGAATTTAACTTCTGGAAACAGTTCTGCTGTCTGATTAACAGGCATTTACCATTAAAGCACACAGTTGAGTTAATAAATATTTTGTTGAAGTTGTTAGTTGTGGATGTTAAATTAAGGCATTTATTTCATGATGCCTAGAAATTGTCTACTTCAGGTATATTTACTATTTTACATATAAACTATATATTTTGTGTTACTTGTTAATTTTATTGATCTTCAATATGTTTTAGGTACTACAGGGTTTTTAAAAATATATGGTAGGTTAGTATTTAAATGCCTTCAGTGTGTGTATGTGTGTGTTTAATAAGTTCTCAAAAAAGTAGGAAGAGCGCAATAATTTAAAACTTAAGGGGGCAAATGTATTTAGATAAATGCATAACTTGATTTTTGTCTTCCTAGCTTCATGCATGTGGTTTTACTTTAATATTTCAAATATTCAACAAATCTTTCTTTCCACTTCAGCCACTATGCCTAGAACCTCACTGAACCTTACTTCCAAGTAAATCTGTTTAGGATTGGGATTAGGATATCTGCATGTGCATTCAGTTACTGTATTTGAACTGTCTCTTATTAATATAGCTCTTCTCCTTTTACAGGTCTCTAGGTATGAACCACATGAATCCTATGAACCCTGTCCAGATGCCAGAGGTGTATATAATTGGAGCCCAACCTCTCTGTAGCCAATTGGCAGGGCTGTCTCAAGGACAAAAGAAACTCTGCCATTTGTACCAGGATCACATGCAATATATTGGAGAGGGTGCAAAGACAGGGATCAAAGAATGCCAGTATCAGTTCCGCCATAGAAGATGGAATTGTAGTACTGTGGATAATAACTCTGTCTTTGGCAGAGTCATGCAGATAGGTAGGAAGTACTTTAGAATCTACATGAAGCATTTCTGTATGCATTGTGCTAGAAAACTTTGCCCGGTTCTTTATGTGACACTGAAGTTAATCAAGAATGGAAACATTAAAATGCCTTTGGCAAAAAAATCAAAACCCTTTTGGTGAGCAAGCAGCCATTATGAGACTGACGATTATGTAGAAAAATGAATAATAATACTGAAGTTCTCATCCCATCGCAAAAATAGGCCTGTTTTTAGAACAGGAAATTGGAAGCAGATAGTGGCATTTGGCTGGCCTAGGATCATTTTCCTATCAAAAACATGTAACGGTTGAGTTTTGCCTTTAGATTAATCACCTTAATTTTTCATACCATTATATCAAGTCTATTCTGGACTGTTATTTTAATACATACTTTCTCAGCCCAGCTTGTACCAATATACCAATATTGAAATCTCATTATGTTTAAAGGAACATGGGAAAAGTTCAGGATTATAGCTTTCTGAAAACAAGTTAATTTTCATTAAAGAAATTTAAGCTATGACGTGAATTATGTTGGTGTTTGCAGAATACTTTGAATAAGGCGAAGTGTGTCTGCATGTATATGCATCCATAGATACATACATGATACATATACTTACGTAATTGTTAGTGTTCATAAAATATCTCTTTAGTAAAAGTATATCTTTTGTCAATTTCTTCTTGATATGTTTTTTTGCTGATGAGCTTATACCAGCAGAATTCCATTTTATGCTTTAAAGAGGTCTTATCTCTGATATTCCCATTGAATTTGATGGGCTCAGCACAGCATCATTATAGATTGCTGTTGGTTGACTGATGGATTGCGGTTTTCTCCCCTTATCCGCTTGCAGTAATGACATCTGAATATCTAAGTCTGTATCTCCGGTCTAGCCCTTCCCCTGTTTAACTCACAGCTTGTATATAATATCATTTCGGAATACTGAGATCTAAATCTAATTTTACATTCCTCTTTTTGAAACAGGATAGGAAAGGATTGGAATGACTTTAAAATTAGATTAAAAATAACTTCATTTAAGAATTGAGTAGGCTTCTGCTTTGCTTGAAAGGGTGCTGTTAAGTCACATTTACTCTAAAAGTTAATTTTATGTAAAATAATCTTTACAAAATCTCAAACCTTTTCCATGCCCTTTTTTATGAAGTAAGTGGAAACATTTGCCTTTTGAAGACTTAAATATTCTCCTGCAGTTTTTGCATTATAATTGCTGTTGAGGGAGGCTTAGAATAAAATTGTTAATTGTTAGTATTCTGCCTTGAGTAGGATGTATTCCATAGATATGGAGTGCTAAAAGCCCGAAATTGTTTCAGATATTAGCATAGATGTATGTATCCCAGACTTGAAGATTGGTTTTATAATGTCTGAGTTAACACAATCTCTTTATACAAAGTTTGCAACCATCAGTGTTTGAACTAGTTCCCATTTTAGTTTTAGGCCTTTGATTCCTGCTCATAATATCTGCATCTATTTCATTTGATTTAAAATGGTGATAGCCTGTTTAGGTTAATTACAAATTAGGTTATGTGCATCCAACTTTCTAGATCATGAAAACGTTACTGAGAACAAGAAGTGTGAGAAATTTCTCCAAAGCAGTGAGAAATTTGTCATTTCATATTTCAGCCTACTTTAAGTGAATTATAAATAGGTTGTTTCTCTTTATCCAGACACCTGTTTCTTGCTTAAACACTGTTCTACATTTCTATAAATCCAGCTACAATGAGTGTTTTTGTTATAAAGAGCCTATTGGCTCTATTTCTTTATGTTTCTCAGAATTTTTGTGAGAAATCCTTAGCCGATTTGACTTGAAAGAATACTTGAAAGATTTTGTGTAGTGAATTAAAATACTACAAGGTTGTACAATTTCTTCATCTAAATTTAAGTAAAGAGTAAAAGTCTTATGATTTGATTGATATCTTCATTGCTGAAATGAACAAATCAGATATTGATGAAGCATATTGGTGTTGTTGCTTTAAGAGCTGACTCTTAAGGTAGAATATCTCTTACAGTTATGATTTTTATTTGGGAAATAGCACAAGCTTTGGCATTAAATGCAGTGAGATATGAATCAGCATACATTACTGCTGGCATAAGTATTTATTTTCTGAACAATTCTGGAAAGTTGGCTGTTTAATATTTGGGTATTTTCGTCCTGGCTAGATCAAACAGTAAATGATAACAAACTAAACATTTTCTGAAAATTTTGTCTATGACTTGATCTCCAAAAGTTGAATAGCGGTCTTCAAGTTGGGAGCTGAGAATGCTCTTCGAAATCAATATAGCTTGAATAAAAGGATATGATTAAAAAAAAGTTCTGTACTTGGTATTCACTTAAATCATGAAAACCACTAAATCAGTGCTATTTAAAAAGCTAAACTCTGAGTAAGATTACATTTTAAACTAACTTTTGAGCCATGTAAGCAAATTCTCTTACTTCTTCTGAAGACTTTCAAAATTACATGTATGGAGGAAAGGATTTTTCTGTTTGAAATGGACAAAGATTAACATATCATCTTTTTCTGATGTAAAGGTATCATGTTTATGCTTAGCACAGGATAGAAAACTTCTAAACAAACCAACACTGTTGCTGGCAGAGAGACTTCTAATATTGTCAAAGTTGATGATATTTGTCTTAAACATGCCACAAATAAATTTATTCCATCTGTTGTTTTTTTTAAAGTATACCATCTCCGCATTTTTTCCCCATGCCACAGATGAAAATTTTCTCTTAAAATATACTTTGGGGGAGAGACATAAAACCTAAATGCTACTAAAATGTATATAATCGCCGTACGTATGCGAAAGGAAGTGAAGTGTTTATGAACTTAATCTGAACCATGCTAGTGTAAAAATCATAGGGCTTCTCTATTATTCATATAGGCATATTAAAAATAAATCAGATTTTAGCATACTACAAAAATTAATACTACTACTTATACATACTACTTATTTGGAATAGGTTCCTGACTGGCGCAAACTTCTTTGGGATAATATAATTTTAAACCTTTTGTTTTAAATACAATAATTTGGCTTTTAAAAATGTAGCTATATACTTTTAAACTAATTCTGTCTTTTATTTGAAAAAATCTGGAATAAGAGGATTTTAGAACTTAGGACATAGCATTGTAAAGGATTGACATTCAAATCATTGCATAAGGCCATGTTTTATCTTTTGTGACAGTCCCCTTAGTTACAATTTTAAAAAGCTATATACAGTTGCCCAATATGACTAAAATTGGAAGAAATCACCACGGGACTTGCCAATTTTATTAAACCTCTATGGATTTGAGTAACCTATTAACCAATGAATTTTCATTCAGGCTATTCAAATAACTAGCCCGTTTGAGTAGCCTGGATCTCTTATTTACTTTAAAAGCATCCCTTAAACTCTTTACATTTTTCGCACAGGACAGTTTGTATAGAGTATATTTCTAGAAAACACCTCAACCATTTCTTGATCACTTTGTGAACCTCATTATTAGATCAGAACCTTCTTTTCCAGTATAAAATGGTTGTTAGTTTATCAGATGCCTCAAAAAGGGTGAATTTTGGAAAAAGTCAAGAGGATTTTCCCATAGTTTGTTTTTTTAAAATTGGAACTTTATCCAATACCAACAAGTTTGGTCAAATATTATACTTAACATTCACTTGATATACCCTATTTTTCAAAAGTACATTAATCCATTGGGGAAAGTTGTTCCATTGTAAAAGTAATATATCTTCTTCTTTGACAAATAAATACATGAATCCCGGTCTCCAATGCACTAAGCAGCTTCTTTTTCTTCTTCTTCTTTTTTTTTTTGCAGGCAGCCGGGAAACTGCTTTTACCTATGCTGTCAGTGCTGCTGGCGTGGTGAATGCCATGAGCCGGGCCTGCCGAGAGGGAGAGCTCTCTTCCTGTGGCTGCAGTAGGGCTGCCCGGCCAAAAGATCTACCTCGGGACTGGCTGTGGGGGGGCTGTGGAGATAACGTTGATTATGGCTACCGTTTTGCCAAGGAATTTGTGGATGCCCGTGAGCGAGAGCGGATCTATCAGAAAGGATCTTACGAGAGCGCTAGAATTTTGATGAACATACATAACAATGAGGCAGGAAGAAGAGTAAGTAGCTCAAAAGGGGATTCTTTTCATCTATTTGCTCTTAACTAATATTGTAAACCTTTATGTTGCTGCGTTATTTACAGAAAGGCTGACTTTTCATTAATTCCTATTCACACATTGTTGTTCGTTTGTTTTCCATAAGCTGTCTTGTTTTTGAATTTGTTTACTTGAACAGACCTGATGAATAAGTGCAAAAATGATTATTATAATCTTTATTAATACCACTACTACTGGAGGTAGACTAGGCAGGATGCCTCAATTTAGATAAAGACAAATGGCCCATTTTAAATTAAAAAACAACAACAACCCAGGTTTTTTCAATCTGAGAGGCATTGCAACAGCTAATGCTTGATTTCCTTCCTGTATATGGAGCTGAAATTATACTTTTTCCCCTCCCAGATTCTTCTGGTAAAATTGTGCAAGTCACAGTAAATTTTCTGCAGAATAGAGTTTTATTAGCTTATATTTCCTACCCATTCAGTTTTCTTTGGAAGGGATGAAAGAAGAAGCATATTTACTAGAGTGAAATGTTCTTGTGTGGGGCTATTTTCAGTCTTCCTTATAAGGCTGTGAAAAAAAAAGTGCCACCCTCTCTGTATTATTAGAGAACAGGCTTTTCTGTGGTGGAAGTTGGTTTTTATGGCTTTTTTAATCTCCAAATCTTTTAAACGAATGAGTGTAAACTTCATTTTATTGCCCTGAAGAGGAAGGAGCCAAAATAATTATTTTTCCTACAACTGACGGTGCCAGGAGAAGTCGGCTAGAGAGTTTACACTTGTGTTTCAAGGTGAATTAAGATGAATGATAATTGAAAATTAATAATATTTCAATGTGACAAGAAGGCATCTGAAAGCCTTGGGAAGGCCAACTTGCTACTAGAGAGAAGAAAAATGACTTTTCACAGTTGCCTGTGTCGGCTTTGAGTGGTTCCCTGCTACCACCCCTTTTGAGCTGCCTTCCTGCCTTGCCATTTGGCAGGGTTTGAACTCCCCGCTTTTTAACGCTGGGTGGAAATGGCATTCAGCATCTACCTAATGTGTCAGACCCCAGGATTTTTGGGGCTGTGTCAACACTGACTCATGTCTATTTATACAGGGTAAATTATCAAGGTCTCCTTGCCAAGACTTTATAAAGAGGATATTGCGGTGTCGGCTTGTCCCCCACCCAGAGGTGTTCTGGGGTTTTCTCTTTTGGATGGAGTCACTTGGCTGTGCATGGAGAGACTAGTGTGGGAGGGAGATGCTGAACTGGAATGGAAAATGTGCTCTAGGAGCAGCACATCTTTCCAGTATGAAAATGGGGAGTTGAAAAGAAAAATCTGATGCAATTCTACTATCAATAAGCCAGTCAACAGACTGGTTAAGTATCATGGATATTTCCCCTCAGTCTAAAGGAAGTAGGTAAAATCAACTTGTATATACCACTTGTAAGTTTTATTTTTGCTGGAAATCTTCACAGGTTCAGTTATTTCCAGTTTCCCTTCTTGAAATGTTACCTGCCAAAGTTGATTACTTTCTTTCTACTGGTCTTTCTTTTTGTTATTGGGAGAGTTGACATCACTGTGTTAACCAAATCTGCAGATTGCTGAGCAACACCAAGCAACTTCAAATTGAATAGAGAAGGGAGGGACTGGATACCTTGTTATCTTGGCAGTGGTGCAGATAGAAGACATCCAGTTAGTATGCAAGGAATGAGCTTGTGCTTGTGCTCGCTTGAGGATAATTACCTATTTATCAGCCATGGATAGTGGCTTGCAATCCTGCTCATTTTCTGTTATTGCTGCATTGTTTGATTGTTGCAAATCAGGGAGTGGAAAAAGAGAAGAAAAACAAAATCTGCAACTGAAACATAATTGCTCAGACACATTTCCAATAATAATAAAATAAAGGCAAAGATGCCCTCAAATCAAGTTCAACTCCTGTTGACTATATGTATGGAAATAGTTTGCCATTGCCTAATTCTAACAGCCTTGGATTTTTTGGATAGTCTCTCATCAAAACCAGGTCTCATTCTTCTCAGCATTTTTGAAATCAGCCAATATTAGATAGCTAAGTTACCATTTGTGGTTCAAATAAAATCAGATGGAATTCTAAGGATTTAACAGCTGGATAGCCATTGTTGAAAGAGAGAAAGCTATTTATGCTAGGTTAACCTACTGGGGAAAAAATTGAATATCCAGAAAGTTGCTTCATGCAGTTATATAGTAGAACTGAGATAAAACAGATATATTATTATACTAGAATTGGAGGTCTATGTATGCTTGGACCAGGTATAAGCATATGAGGCTTTAGACTGGCATAATTTGTGTAATGCCACATTTGTGGCATTTCAGCAGCCACAGAAGTGTATTGATTGGAAAAGTGTGATCAGGTTGCACATCTCAAGATTGAACAGAAGTTTGTTCCATTCCTTTTTTATGGCCTCTAATAATGCCTGGCATCCTTTTTTTCTTCTGTCCCATCCAACATACCAAGGAAGTAGAAAACAATCTTCAAACTTACATAATATCCTTGAACTACCACAAGTTTTCCATGGTGATTTAAGCTCATTAATATCCACAGGTGTAAGTGGGTCCATCAACTTTGCTAGCACTTTCTCATACTTTCTGATCCTGCCAGCTTAGTTTAATTTTGTAGCATAGGATGGAGTATTCTTTGATCCTGGCCATCAGCCTATGGTGAATCGTTTGCAGACAAGTTGGAGATGATATAAACAGATGACCATGATTATTTATTCCAGTGTTGTTGCTTTCTGGGATCATTTACAAATTTTAAAAAAGTTCCAGTTTGCATGCACAATTTGTGAGTTAGTGATTTTCCATATTTTCAATGCTAATCAAAAAGGCCAAGAAGGAAAACCTCCAGAGAGATGGGAAATCATTCAATTAATGCAATGAACTACTGCATACATTCTTTGGCCACCAAATAATAAGAAGAAGAATGAGAGAAGCAGCTCATCTGTCTGGAACTCACATTGCATATCTGACATTAACACAATTGAGAGAGTCCAGAGATATTTCACCAGAAGAGTCCTCTACTTGTAACAGAATACCTTATGCCACCAGACTTGAAATCTTAGGCTAAGACAACTTAGCACTACGCTGCCTTCTGTCCGATCTAAGTGTAGTACATAAAATTATATATTGCAATGTCCTACCTATCAATGAATACTTTAGCTTCAACCATAACAATACAAGAGCACACAATAGATACAAACTCAAGGTAAACCGCACCAGACTCGATTGCAGGAAATACGACTTCAGCAACAGAGTGGTCAATGCCTGGAATACTCTACCTGACACTGTGGTTTCTTCACAAAACCTCAAAAACTTGAACCTTAAACTGTCTACTATTGACCTCACCCCTTTCCTAAGAGGTCTTTAAGGGACGTGCATAGGTGCACCAATGTGCCTACCGTCCCTGTCCTAATGTTCCCTTTTATTCTTAGCCATTTCATGTATTAACAATCATGTTTACACTTATATCAGTTATCTAATACATGCTCGACTAAATAAATAAATAAATAAAATAAAGGACTTATTTGAAAATACCCTAATATTGGGAAATATTGAAGGCAAAAGGAGAAGGGGACAGTAAGATGGTTAGGTATTATTGACACTGTGAGCATGAGTTTGGGCAGACTCAGAGACAGTGCCATACTATGGTACATGATGTTGCAAAGTATCGGACACAACTTAGCAAATCGAACAACACAAACTGCATACAATTGCTGTCTACAATTGCCTTTTCATGAATTTATTTTTAGTGAAATTTGTGAGGTAGCAATATCATGTCATAGAAGGTTGGGAAGATAGCAAAATAATCAGATTTATGTATCAGTTCATCAGGACCTATATCTCTTTATATTTCAGCAATTTTTATCCTGATTTTTAGTATTTTACTGTCAACATTGCTGCTAAAGGAATTTTCTAAAATGAAAATTTTTGTAACTGATAATGCTGTGAAGGATTATCTTCTGTGAAGGAGTATTTTCTGCTGAATATGGGGGTACAGCTCATAGTAACTTAGACTTGTATATTTTCTGTACCTTTTCCCTCCATTATTTTTATACAAAAATGATAAATGGGGCTATAAATCAGGGTTGTCAAACTGTAGCCTATGGGCCGGATGTGTCATGTGCTGGCCACACCCAAGCCTGGTTTAGCGAATGGGGGGAAAGTTGCAATATGTCATGTGACATCACACCGTGACACTCGAGTTTAACACCCCTCCTATAAATAAAAAGAAGATAAAATATATTGTCAGACAAACCTGTCAAAAACTCTTATTATATTGGGTATGATGTGACAACCAACAGCTAAGAATGGGGGAGTTTTTGTAAAAAAAAAAAAAACCCTGATAAAACAAGGTAAAAGAAGTTTTAATCAGCTCTCCAAATGTTTTCTGGATGTTTTAACTTTTATTGTTTTAAATTGTTTTAACTGTTTTATAGTTTTGGAATTGTAAGCTTCCCATAGTCACTTGGTAGAGATGGGCTGCTACAGAAATTGAATAAATAAAATAAAAATAAAAATTGTTACTTAGCAGCAGGCTAACAGGAAATTTCAAAGCAGGTAGGCATTCTGGAAAGTAGAATAGACAGGTGCCAGGTGAGGAGATGCTACCATTTGCAGTTGTTTCCCCAATAATTGGTAGGGCATACAAAAGTAATTGTTTAGTTTATTTTACATCCGTTTATATTTTGGGACAATAGGACTCATTTTTCTTCTTCTGACTCCTACAGACAGTGTATAACTTGGCAGATGTAGCCTGCAAATGCCACGGTGTGTCTGGATCATGCAGCTTAAAGACCTGTTGGCTGCAGTTGGCTGACTTTCGCAAGGTGGGCGATGCTCTGAAGGAAAAATACGACAGTGCTGCCGCTATGAAGCTCAATCTCCGTGGCAAACTGGTTCAGGTGAACAGCCGCTTCAATGCACCAACTATTTATGACCTGGTGTACATTGACCCTAGTCCTGATTACTGCGTGCGCAACGAGAGCACTGGGTCTCTGGGCACCCAGGGGCGACTCTGCAATAAGACTTCAGAAGGCATGGATGGCTGTGAACTTATGTGCTGCGGCCGGGGCTATGACCAGTTCAAGACCGTGCAGACAGAACGCTGCCATTGCAAGTTCCATTGGTGCTGCTACGTGAAATGCAAGAAATGCACAGAGATTGTGGACCAATTTGTCTGCAAATAAGTGGGTGGGGTGGGACAATCTCTTCCAGTCCACCAGCAGGGTTGGTTGCCTTAAATGATCTCAGTTCTTATTTATAGTGCCCAATGGGTTGCTTCCCTTGTTTATATGTTAAATCTTTTGCAAAGAGAAATGATGGGGAAATCTTGTTACATCCAGCTCTGATTGTGCATAGTTTTATATATATATATATTTTTTGCAATAATTGGGGGGGGGGGAGAAGTGACAGAATATTTATTTGCATAATTGGGATTAAGATTTAACAATAGCAATGAAAATAGGATAGCTTAAAAGGATATCCATTCTATCCCAAAACAGTCACAAGAAACATGGTATAAATGCAGTAGATGAGGTATTTGTGTCACATGCTTTTTAGATCAGAGCATGGCTGGACTTGGTAATATAAAAAAATATGGACATGGCTTTTGTTCATAAGGTTAGTGATCAAAAAACAATAAAAATAAAAATGTTCTAATGATAATGATTAGTTTATCTGTAAAATTTTAGCACAACGTTCTTCAAACTTATTTGCCTAACCACCTGCAGGGATGGGTAAAAGCATAAGGTCCCTAAACTACAGTTGTGCTGCTAGGTAACTTCAAAAAATCCATTAAATTGAGAGGTTTTTTTTCATTCTTGGCTTACATATGAACATGCACTGAGTGAGGCCTGTGCATGTAAAGATGCTAGGAAGGAAACACGTAGTTCTTTCACCATCATTCACATAATGCATTTCTCAGAAGATACAGTATTTGAATTAGCAAATACCATTTCTTAAAAATTACGAACAAAATCAAAAGGAAGAAAGCCTGACTTTACTCATTGTAGATCAAAGCAATATTTGGAATACTGCAAGTTGCAGTAAAATAAGCACGTCTCATGCATGTTTAGACAGCCTTCTGCCTTAGTTTAAATAATATTAATGAGTTAACTTTGGGATTTCCTGAAGTGTGTGCGCTAAATAATGCTGGAAACTGATTCTGTATTGTGCATTACAAAAACATGATTCTTTATTTTTAAAGTGCTATGGGTAGTAGTTCGTTTCTTTTCAGAAATGGAAGTTGGCTGATAGCATTGTGGAATTGAGAACTCTTGGCTGTCCTGTACAGCAGCTTGATAAAAATGGGCAGCGTGGCAAGCAATATCCTCTTCATCATCCTGTGCTACCTTTGTTTGTTTTAATGCACAATGCTTTAAAAATATAATGGCTATGCACAAACTGCTCAGACTATATTTGAGCAGTTACTTGTATATGGGAAAACTCTGGTCTGTTGGTGTCTAGTATCTCAAACCTTTTCTCATACATATATGTTGTCAGTACAAACTACAAACCAATGATTTCTTTAAGAAAAAAAAGAACATACAGTCTGTTCAAGTTACCAGAAAGTTTCTTTGTTTAGACTAAGCATATTATTATCCTCCCCCATTTTAAAAAACACTGTCAATTCACTTAAGGGGCTTTATTTGGGTTGGACGCTGGCCTTCCTTTTTCTGGGGCTTGAAAATTGTTGAAAGGCAAGTCGGTCACAATTTAACTTTCTCTTTTTCCTTTCAGAAAGTATTGGATTTTTCAACTTGGTGAAAGTGAAAGATTTGGCATGATCTGAATTGTTGGTTGTGCACTTGAGCTCAGAATTCCAGAAAGTTTGATGTGTGGTTTAGAACAGCCTTGTTCAGCCTGGTTCTCCACCTAATGTCCCACACTAGACTGTCCTTAATGTCCCAGCACTTACGTTGGGATGAGCTGAAACAGATTTATTGCAAATCATTGTTGCTAGTAATGGAAACAAGCTCAAAGTATTCTTAGACAAATTATACCTTCTCCTTTTTTAAAATAAATAAATAAATTCTGTGGTGAACTAGCATATTAGACAGGCTCAGAAGCCATAGTAAATCTCTGTATTGTTTCAATTTTAGTACATTTGCTGTTGAAGCATGTTTTGGCAAGACATTTACTAGAATTGGAACAATACAGAGAAAATTAGCATGGCCCCTTGTACAGGGATAACATGCCAGTTTTCATATAAGAAGAGAATCTTTTTTCCCTTGACACAAATTTAATGCATTCTTCAGCTTCCAAAACCTCACCCAAATTCATCAACCCCAATAAATATAAGCAGATTGGAATTGATGCCAGACTTCCACCTTTCATTAACATACCAGAAGTTTCATTTCTCACAGGCTGTGAGCTTTCTCATTAATGCCATCATGATTATCAGCTTTTACAATGATGATTGCTCTTAATTTATTGTGCAAGGAAATATTTACTTCCATGGTTCCTAGTATTTGCAAACCAATGGCAACAATAACTTTCATAAATGAATAAAGCACTAGTTCCTTGAATATGTCACTTTTGGTTTTTATTATACAAAAACCACATTTTAAAATTATGTTGAACACTTATCCTTTATCATGACTTCTGCCTATGAGCAGAGAGGTCAAATGATCCTAGCTATTAAAATGCTATTTAATGTAAAATACTCCACTTTATTCTTCAGATACTATGTAAATCTACTATGTTCTCCTCTTTGTTCTGTACATTTAATGTACATAATTTGGTCTCGTGTGATTTGTATATTTCATTGGGGTTTTTTTTAAAGGCTTATGCCATATTGGAAGATAGACTATAAAATAAAATTTTGGTTATATATTGGGAGATGATTTTAATTATTTCAGGAGAGGTATTTTTTTTTAAAAAAGCACTTTTATTATTTTTATTCTGCCTGTGCTATTTTTATAAATAAATCAAGGCAGCAAACTTACTTTTAATGCTCCTCCTATTTTTCCGACAACAACCCTGTGAGATGGGTTGGGCTGAGAGTTTTATTGTAAAACAGACAATGTTCTCAGGTGGATTCTTTATCAGTATAACAAGTATAGAGATTCCTTATGGAATGTTGAAGTTGCAATTAAGTTCTAGAGGAATATTGAGAATACTGAACGCCCCTGAGAAGATGTTTTCATTCCTCATAGGTCTTACAGGTAGAAAATAATTGATGAATGACTTAAGCCAGGGATACCAGAGATCATCCCTAACCAATTTTTATTCTTTAATATTTTCATTGTAGCTTCACTTGGAAGCATGAAAGAAACTGTGTTTGCAATGTGACATGTTTTGTCACTAATACCCTTTACTCATATGGAAAACATACATGTTTCAAATAAATGGGTGTTTCTGATTTGTGATAGGTGCTGTTGCTAGCCATTTTGTTAGTAGGAAGGCCACACCCACATAACAGCCATAATATAAAATATAAAAAGGGTGATAATGCATTCTGCTTTAAAATCAAGGGTATCCACTAGTGCCCCATTGCATGTTTCCTTAATTAACTAGGAGCATTGCTAACGCTTTAAGCAGAGGAGTCCATGGGGGTAGGGTCAAAAAAGTTGATGTAGCCTTGATGCAATTAAAACCTTGCTGTCATTGTGAGTTATTTCACCTCTATGGAAGGGCCTCTTTAAAAAGCTAGCACTGTGGCTGATAAGATAAAAACAAGTATATAATTGTCCTAGTGCTCGAACATATAATTGAGAACCTTTCTTCCTCCCAAAACTAGTTGGAAAGAGCCTCACCCGGTTGTAACTTTGAAAGTTGTACAAGAAAAAAATCAATATGGGTTTTCATAAAAATGTTTAAATGTTCATTAATTTTAACAGCAGTTCAGTTTTGAATCACTCCTAACTTTCTGAAGTGCGTGTAACCATGTAATTCAGCTCAAAAGCCAGAGGCAGCCCTTAACCTTCAATAATGTTTCAGACCTTGGTCTAGAGAAACAAAAGCCAGAAAGTGTGTTCATGTTCTACAATTGTGTGCTGTTCTCACCTCACCAAAAATGCCAAGCAGCTCCTCCCTCTGTGCTTTACAGCCTGATGTCAGCCAGGCTTGGCTTTTTTCTGCAGACCCAGACAGAGGAGCCAAACACATGGAAGTTTGGAAGCAGTCTGACTTTTAAAAAGGCAGCGGCTACTCACCTGGCCCAAACTGCATGCCAAGGACTAGAAGAAGAAAGAAAAGCAAAGTTCAGATGCTAGTTTTTAGGATTTCCACCTGATGGGGTAGAAATGGATTGCTGACAACTCCAAGAGGCCTGTTAAGTTTGGTGGCCAGTCTAGTGATCCATATTTCCTTAAAGCTGGAAGATGGTCTTCTCTGGCCTAGCTGGACTTGGCTTGCCACTGGTTGGTCACTCAAATCATGCTGTTCCCCTGTAGCCTTCCCACCCAGGTAGCTTGAACAGATGGTCTTGAAAATCCTCCCAGCAGGGAGGAAAGAGCACTGTCCCCTAGAGCCGGCAACAACTAGCTCGTATGTGCGAGGGGAACCTTTACCTTTTTTAGATGTGCATGTATTACATAGAGAATTTGGGGAATGGGACATAATGATCTCCAGGACTGGCTTCAAGTTATTTTCCACACAGGAATAAGGGTGTTAGTAATATGGTGAGCAAACTGGGGACTTCATGTCCCCTTCCCCCATTTTCATCTTTTTTGGGAGGAGGGAGTCATGTAAAATTCAGGATTCTTTTAGAATAAATACGGTAAATATTTTTTAACTTTCCTGTTATTGGAAAGAATTTCACCATATTCCACTCCAGAGAAATGCTGACCTATACAAGTGCAGGTCAGAGTTTTTGCAATAAAGAATACTGGTCAATATACAACTGAAGGAAATTAAAACCATATGTGAATAATTAGACCACAGAAATTGCATTTACCCAAAAGTGCTATTTTAAGCATGCTCCATATTGATCTTTTACTTTTGTGGCATATTACATTCTTGGCACCCCAGAAGAGATTCAGTACATTAAGCTGGCCTCTCAAATGAAAGAGAGCGTGCAAATAAGCAATCTATTACATTTGCTGATGTTGCAAAGTTTTCTTTGATCAGATGCGATTAGCCCAAATTTCTCCTGGTATATTTTATTACACACATTGTTCAGTAAAATCCACTTTGTTTCCTGACTGTAATCTGTCCAAAAAGTGGGGGTGGAATCTCTTACGTTGTCAGAAATGCTGCTTTCAAAAATATAAAAATTGGCTCAATACTCAACACAACCTGTTTATAAGGCATACAACTCACCTGTGGATTCATGTGAGATTTCTGTATTAAATGTACTTCATACCGAGCATGTAGTTGGGGAAAACAAGCAGAGAACACAAACCAATACTGGAACATGAAGAGCTGCTTTGATTTATGATATTTGATCAACTGAGTTGCTTATGTCTTTTTCCCTCACAAAGGGCATCTTTCCCAAATGCCCTGTGAGGATGCAGCAGCCAAATCAAATGCTATTTCCTGCTGCCATTCTGCCCTTATTACCTGGAAATTTCCTTATCTCCATTACAAAGCCTAAGAGCCAGCGCTATCCGAAGACATCTCCGTGGTCATGTGGCTGGCATGACTAAATGCTGAAGGCGCACAGAACCCTGTACACCTTCCCACCAAAGTGGTCCCTATTTTTCTACTTGCATTTTTATATGCTTTTGGTTGGCAGAAGCTGGGACAAGCAACGAGAGCTCACTCCGTTACACTGTGCTAGGGATTTGAACTGCCAAACTGCCCACCTTTCTGATCGACAAGCTCAGCTTCTTTGCCACTGAGCCATCGCGTCCCTATTTATGCACATCTAGAGCTGTCTATAAAAGGTTTACAATTTACAACTTACACACAAAAAAAGATCTGTTATTTGCACGTACTCACCATTGTCTCACATCAGAGCATATGTGTATATATACATAAAAACACATTGTCCACCTTAAAGCAGTTGGAAGAAAAAGGACAGGTATGATGTGGATAAAAGAGACGAGTATCTACATGAGAAAATAGAATAAAATACATGGAGAAGACCAGAAATAGTAGAAACTGGCTAAAGGGAAAAAAAGCTGTACAGGTAGTCCTTGATTTACAACAATTCATTTAGTGACTGTTCAAAGTTATAGCATCATTGAAAAATGTGACTTATGACCTTTTTTCACTTTTACAACCAATGCAGCATCCCCAAGGATAAAAATCCAGACAGTTGGCAATTGACTCATATTTATAAAGGTTGTAGTGTCCCAGGATCACATGATCACCTTTTGTGGCCTTCTGAGAAGCAAAGTCAATGGGGAAATCAGATTCACTGAACAACCATGTTACTAATTTAACAACTGCAGTGATTCGCTTAACAACTATGGCAAGAAAGGTTGTAAAATGAGGCAAAACTCACTTGATAAATGTCTTGCTTAGCAACATAAATTTTGGGCACAATTTTGCCTGTATAGGTATGACAAAAAGGATTAAGTTCACTCGGCCATCATCTTCCCTAAGAGCAGCTAAACTTCTATCTTCATGCAACAGCAATGTTCTCGGCCAT